AACTATGTTTTGTAAGTGTATTATTCCTTGTAATTACTTCTGTTTTCTTTTTCAGTTGATGTAATACTTTGAAATAGAAAGAAAAAAAGTATATTCCCTTTATTCTTTAAAAAACATGTTCATTTTATTCTTGATCAAAATTATTAAAGGATCTTACAAAATAGTAAACTGATTATACTACTAATCTAATATGATCTAGATTTGGAAATTATTTAATTGAACATGAATACAACACTGGAATAGTAATTAATAATGATCAAAATCTGTAAATTGATTTTGGCATAGAACCATTAAGTTAAATAGTTTAATATTACTATGTGTAATTATTATTTTGGGATAAATATTAAGTAAAAGTGAATTTTCTGAATGTCTCTATATGAAATTATTTTATTATTATTATTAGCATAATACTTAAACTATTATATTCTTGTATTTGTCTATCTGGAAGCTTTACTTTGATACATAAACTATCATAGTGTGTTTTACCTCACCCCAGTTATTGTTTATTTTTTACGGACCTGTTACACAGTTTGCTTTTACCTGTGGTGTAATTATGGCTATATTATAGTTTCTTAATTCCGTTGATAAGTGGTCAGGATTTTGCTTTATATTGGCGTATGGATGATTAATGAACTCGAACTATGTAATTAAAAGATATCTGCTTGCTGAACTCTCTATTCTGATTGTCGGGCGAGAGATCATGGGAAGCTGCTTTCTGGATTAGTAAACATTTGGCGGAAACCTGAAAGCATTCGACGGCGGTTTCGTCCACTGGTAATAACTAATACAAAGGAGAAGATAAAGATTTATTTGATAACTAAAATAGAACGGAAGCCAAATCTGAATACACTGATTTCGATGTTTTATTTACATTGATTGATGGTAAGTTTCTAAATGAATTGGACTGAGTAAAACTGGATATTTAATAAATCAATGATTTAGTGTACGGTTTATGATATCATAGTATTAAACAGTTTTAATCAACTAATTTACTAAGTTTTATGATTGCCCGCTTCTCACATACGTTCATGCAAGAGTTCGAAGATCTGGGGTTCTATTTCCAGTTGTGATGTTGTAGATCCACAATTCTATGGAGTACTATGCTGGAATGAAACATATATCCAATGCTTCCAGGTTTTAAATGGTTGTGTAACTTGGATCAGTTCATGATGTCAATGAAAATGAAAAATGTTAGCATTCGCTTAGAATTAAGAGGATGCTAGAGTGAATAGGTATACGGTAGAAACCATTTCTCAATAAAAAGTTTGAGTTCATTAAAGTTGATCACTTAGACTTCTATTGCATTCAAGAGGCCAAGTGTTGAAAACAGTAAGTTGTCTTTTAAAGCATTAACATGTTGGTTAATTGTGAATTTAAGGGTTGTGTAGACCATTCTGTCTAACAGAAGGTATTCATCACGGATTGATTTAATTTATAGTATTATTGTAAGCTGGTAAGAAGCGGACAACCGTTTTGTCCTAGTATATAACGTTGCAGCTGTTCTTACTCAACAGATTGATTGGGCTCAAACCCATCACCTCCAAGCCTCACTGGAAATACCTTACCATTAGAACCCCTGGTTTATCGTTCCCCTGTAAACATTTCTAACTGAAGACAGTTTGCTATATAGCTATAGAAAACAATTATCTAGTTCTCCCTAGTTTTCTATGATACCTTAACTATGATGAATCCGTGACAAATACATAATAAATATTTTTTAACCATTCAAACCTTCACGAAATTATTACAACCATTTACATGTTAAGTTTACCGATTTTTTATTTCTATCCCTAATTCTTTAATAAATGAAATATAATTTATAAATTAACAAACTTATGATTCATTTCATTTCCTTAAACTAAAAAGTACAAACAAAATTTTATTCACCTAAAAATTTATTTCTGAAAAATTTATTTAAATAGTCTCTTATCATTTTAAGCAGCAAGAAAAGTCGAGGTCATTAATATTACTTATTTATGCCTGTTACCCCTCATGGAGAAGAATAGGTCACTCACCAGCATTCTCCATTCAACCCTGTCCTGAGCAATCGTTTTCAGTTATTTCTAGTTGCTATTCATCATTTTGATGTCCGCTTCCAATTATCAACACAGTGTATTCTTTGGCCTTCCTTTTTTCCGTTCCCTTCAGAACTCTAAATTAGCGCTTGCCTCGTGGTGCAGTTTGATGATTTAAGTAATTTATGTCCTATCCACCTCTAACATCATTGTTCTCTCCTACAGAAGGCTTTTGCTGATGGTATCTGGTCAACGGACATTCAATATTATTTATATCTTGATAAATTTGTATAAATTATATTAAATAACACTTGAATTATAGGCATCCATTTAAAGTATGATTTACATTTTTGTGATTTGAAAACATAAATCTAAATTTTAATTATTTAAATTATTTAATTATCATAATGGATTTGAATAAATCATACAATTGAATGTTGTATAATTAGTTTATTTTATTAATGAGAATAATGAATAGTGTATATCCACAGATCTTACCTGCGGTAGATTTTTATTAATTTTAAAAATTTGTTATGAGCATGATACAATTCAGTAACTATTGATTAGGTCCATTCCACTCCAGATAACTTATGATAATGTAGCTTGAATATCATCAGAGTTTATTAAGCTTGTAACGGTATAATAAAAGCAGTTGTTCCATGCTCTGATGTTTTAAATCTGAACAAACACGTAACTGCTCGAAAAAGACCAAATATCTTAGAATATCGTAAATGTAATTATACTGGTCTCAGTGAAAAATGGATTTAACTTTTAAAGTAGAAAAAACTACAACCAATCTACTAGCCTATTCGATGCTTAAGGTTTCAGAAAGATTCGGTTAATAAGGGAGAATGCTTAACAGGAATGTTAGTGTAAACGATGTCTATTAGGAGCATTTAATTTATAACTTAGTGGTCTATTCCGTAAGAGCACTACAGCTTCGAAAAATCCAGTGGATGATTTAGCAAAATTGAACTTTCAGACTGAAGACACAAATAACCACATAGATTTTTTCTTTGAATTACCTTCACAATCTAACCTTATCAAAGTATTAAACTTTTAGATATGATCAGACATGATCAATTGTTATTATCAAGAGAAAAGTTACTTTATCTTATTGATTTATTGTCATTCACTCGATCATGAGATGAACACAGATTTATGGATTATATAAAAATGATTGAGTTTATTATTCTAAAAGCTTCATACGCGCCTTGTAATTTTCATCAATATAAATTGTGTTTAATAGTTGAGATCATGAGTCGATTGAAGCTAGACCACCATGGAGAGCCTGAAAGTACTGGACGGCCATTTCTTCCTGTTGTGGGACACCTTAGCATTCACGAACCCACCCAGCGGGATTATGATACAAGTTACTGAGAGCAAACGAATTAAGGCCAGCAGTGAAATCTAGGACACGCATTTCGTCCTAGAAATTACATAAACATCATACATGCTTATTAATTTACTAGCTATGTGGAGTCGATAGCTCATTGAATAGAAGTTTTGGTGTTTCTAAGAAAAAGTACTAAGTACAAGTCCTGGTATACACTAGAACACTGAGAAAGAAGTACATCCAGCCGATGAGCTCCAAACAGGAATTAATATGGCTACTGGATTTAATTGCTTTCCACAATCTATCTATCTATTACAAATATTACTATCATTCTAACTTGTTTGATGCACAACGAAATTAGACCAATGATAATGAATTATATTTTTCTAGAAAACAAATAATTATAAATTTCAATTACTTGTATGTTAATATAGTTGAGTATATGAGGCGACTAAAATCTAGTGAAAACCAAAATTATTATAACAACTAATTGTTAATAAACACATTCTCTATTTGATAGTAACTCACTGAAGATAATGGCGGATGGTGGCGCAATTTCGTAGACTGGTTGAAATTAGATATTGATTCAATGGTCTAGTGGTTAAGCGCTCTAGGGAGAGACCGATAGGTCTTGGGTTCGAATCCCCCGGGGTGGGATCGTGGATGCGTATTGCTGAAGAGTCCCACAATAGGACGAAGCGGCCGTTCAGTGCTTCTGGGTTATCCATGATGGTCTAGCTGTAATTGACTCGTAGACTCAACTATTAAATTACTATTAATATCCACAAAAACCCGTTTCTGATAATATTATATATTATTTTTAGAGTTTTCATATGCTATTGTACGAACATTCAATCTTTGATTGATAGAATTATCATTTTCGAATTGAATGTTCAAAAGATAAAGTGGATGTGTTGAAATAAACTATTTTATAAAGGGTTTTGTTATTAATCTTGAATATATACTTATCTATATAAATTAGTTACATATATCTTTTTCATTCTCATTTTCATACTGTAGATATACAAGCTTGTGAATAGAAATTAGCTTGAGCAGTTTGGGTGTGATACCTAAAAAAAATAAATAAAAGCATGTATACATCTATTAACCAGTTAAATGATCTCTTGTTAGTGAGACAAACACATTACGTATGTTATTACTTCCAAGTTATTTCAAGTATTCTATTCATTACACAAAATATTCATCTACGAGATACTTTTTGAGTAGACTCATTTAAAACTCATCTCGGAAATACTGCCTCACCACTTAAAATACAAACAATGAAGAGTTTTGATAAACTGTTCCTCATGATGTGTAAAAAAAAGCAAGTTTGAAAATGGTGGAATTAATATCTCTATGCCAATTTACAAACAATGAAATGAATATAATCTAAAGGGAACTTCGACATATATTTCACTTTTTTATGCCAAATAATCAATTATAACAAATGGAAATGATTAATTAGAAATTGGCAATATTTATATTAATTTTAAAAATAAAAATATACTTTTCAGTACTGAATATTGACTACTTATTTGATGAACTACTGAATAAATCATTATGTATATAATATTTCAGTGAAAATAAACTTTTAAGTCAATTTTTGTTGTTGTTTTACATTGATTATATAACTTCATAAGATCATTATAATGTTTACAACTCGACGTGGATTACTTGCACCACAAAATACATTTCTTGATACAATTATACGAAAATGTGATGGACAAAGTAAGTTCAATGCTCGATTTTTTTTATCTATTGAGATCATGAACCGATTGATGTTAGACCACCGTTGGAAACCTGAAAGTACTGGATGGCTGTTTCATCTTATTGTGGAACTCCTCAGCAGTGCACATCCACGATTTCATTCGTGGGATTCGAACCCAGGTTTTTCAGTTTCGCACGCAAACGATTAACCTACTGGACCACTGAGATGAAATCTAACGGTGTTAGTGTCTGACATTTCGTTATTGTTGATGATGATGTTGCTGTTGTTGTTTCCTTTTAAAAAAGCATTTTCTTACAATAAAAGTTGATTATTTAAAGAGATATTACTGTTCTCGGAAAAGATTCAGCTGAGTTTATTAAACTATTCATGTTGAATAAAAAAAATCTAATGTACTTTGAATTTTTAATTACTCAACATATGTATTTCATTTAAAATTAATTACAGTATTTGATTGAACTGAGATCATGAACCGATTGATGTTTATGATCTCAATCAAAAATTTAATAAACTCCACAACTCCATAATGATAAATCATAATCAGTGAAGTGTATAGTTTTGTTTATTAAAAATGTATTTACTTTTTATAACATATTAAAGTATACATAAATCATGGAGATTTAAAACATGGACTACATTCTTAATAATATTAAATTAAGTTTTTTTCTAAAAAAACATATCCCCATTTCACAGATTGAAATCATGAGTCAGTTGAAGCTAGACCACCATTGAAAACCAGGAAGCACTGGACGGCCGTTTCGTCCTAGAATGGGACTCCTCAGCAGTGCGCATCCACGATGGTGGTTTTTAATGGTGGTCTAGCTTCAACTGACTCATGATTTCAATCTGCGAAATTTCTAAAATCTCCACAAAACCCATTCTGATATCCCCATTTGTTTATCATTATAAAAGAAAATTTCCATTGAAACATGTATAGATGAATAAATGAGTGAAATCATGTTCATCTAAAACAATCTTTATTATTCATATGGATAACATTCGATTCTAAATTAAGTGGTAGTTGGTAATAGGCAAATTTTTTTAAATACAGCTTATTATATGAAAACTGAGCGAGAAAAAAGGTGATTTTCAACCCATCCATAACTATGGGATAATGTTTTTTTTTAATGATTCACTAACACTCACAAATGAAATCTATGAGACTAGTCATTTGGATATACATTCATCTAATTGTTAATGTTAATACACATTATTAAACACAGTACATAGTACATAGCACATAGCAATCTTCTCTATCCTTTAATAGATATATATTTACCATACAGCTTAAGTAAATGTTTTCGTCGAAAAGAAAAGCTTGCTTCTTGAATTCTCTTTATTTTTATTCTATATTGTTCATTTATATATTAAAAACGGTAGATTAAAAATGAACAAAATAAACTGATATTTAAATGTGAATAAAGTAATGAAAAGAAATTTTTACTTCTATAATTAACTATACCCGAAGGTATTAAGGAAGTGGGATAAGATGATTGAAGGAAAATCCATTAAAAGCAAAAAAAGGAGTACCAACAACATGCAAAATAATAAATAAATAAAAAAGAAATATGTAACCATTTTGTGATAAAACAAAATATATGAAACTCATTACAATAATCATAAAATGGGATAAAATAAAGGGTTGGGTAAAACATGTATATAAATACATGTCTTCAGTATATATAGTATAGTCATTTTAATTTACGGATCGTTAAATATTGTATTGGTTTCTTTATCACAAAAGATTTCACCATCTAAGAAAATTGTTAACTTTTAAGGAGAACATAGATTGATTGACAATATTCAATAACATTTAATAAATGTACCACCAATGTTTTCTGAGTTCTAAACTAATTCAATTCAATATTTAAAATAACCAGTTGACATGTAAATAAAGAAAAAAATATGTTACCAAGTATAAAACATTTAAAATATATTTTACAATAAACAAATTTTAGTGACCATAAACGATGAAATAATTGATTGATTTAAGTTCCTTTAAAGATACATTTCTCTAGTTGAGACCACCATGGAAAACCTAAAAGCACTGGATGCATGTTTCGTCCTATTATGGGACTCTTCAGTAGCGCGCATCCACGGCCCCGCCCCGTGAGATTCGAACCCAGGAATTATCAGTCTCGCGTGCGAGTTGAGGAGTCCTACGATAAGACGAAATGCACATCTAGTGGTTCTACGATTTCCATGGTGATTTAGCTCCAATTGACTCATGATCTCAAGTATTGAAATTACTACAATCTCCACAAAACTCCTTCTGATACATTTCACTTTAAAATATTTCTTTAAATGTAACTAATAGCATTTTGTTGATTTAACTATGAACGCTAAGTTGGTAAATGAAAAAAAGTAACTCTATTATGAGAGTTAAGTGTGAATTGGTCGAAAAAAGAAGATAATCATATACATTTTAATAGAATCTTTTGGTGAGTCTATAAATATAATAAATAATAAATATTTTTTAGAATAAAGAAATATCAATTTTGAAGAATGATGTTGTAGCTAAGGAATGTTTGTATGTTCTGCTTACAGAACTTGTTAAAGACAACTATACTACTTACAAGATTGATAACCGTGACGACGTATACTACCATAATCACGTTATACTTTAGGCATTTTCTCTTTCACCAGATACTTTACAATCTTAAAACTTTTGCGATGAATATTCGGTGAAAACAATTCATGAATTCTATCCTCATAGAAATAAGGTACTATCACATTTTTTAAATGTTACATCTGCTTTTCTATTGACTGGATTATGAGCATAAAATACTGTTTATCCTATGATTATTTTTAGAGAATGTTTATCATATCATATTTCTACTATAATTTGGTAACAGTGTCAATCAATATGTTGATGGGAATATTTTTAAAAATAACGCTTGTAATTGTACATGTCATAATCTAGACAGTTAAATAATGAGAATCTAACTAATTTAAATAATTCTAATAAATACTTGTGTAGTGAACGAAGAAGTCAAGTGGAGAAGGCCAAAATTACAGAATATCTTTGTAAAATACGAAAACAATACATTAAATACTTTTTTTGCATATCTTCCATCATTTGTCTCTTATGAACTTGTTAGTTTTATTCATTCCTGTTGTTATTACAACTACTCTATCTTCTCAACCTTTTGTTGCCAGGCACTCCTGCTTGATGTTAAATACTACTTATGTCGGCAGATATGAGTAGCCTAGACGACACATGTAAGATTTCACTTTCAGTATATATATGATGGAAAGTAACCAACTGGTTTTTTGCGCATTAAGATTCGTTATCTTCAGTAACATGACTGAACAGTTGAATTGCTTCATAGAAAGCTAACAATGAATCTACTAAACATATACTTTTCTTTCAATAAACTTACTTCATATATTGATTGCAGTGTATCATATATACATAACTATTATCAATTATCCTGATAAAATAAATAGACTGATTTTATCAGACTACTGTGAATAGTCTGTTTGTTTTTTAATTATCTATAAATCTTAATTACACTCAGCATGCGAATGAACAGATAGCATAAAACTGTTTATAGTAAACAATGGCATTTCCTGAATTTCACACTTTAAAAAATAACATTCATAGAAGGATATTTTCTGTGTGATTTACCTTTAAAATGTTTAGATGAATAATTTTATTTGTTTTTCTTAAGAATATTACCAAAGTCCAAACCATATTTTAATTTCCATCTCTTGTATTAACTACTCAATTTTAACATTTGTTGTTTATACAGAGAAATTTATTAGGCGAACCAAATGATTCCTAACATTTGAGTGTTTTAACACCATTTAAGGTGTTGCGGTCGATATTCAATATAATCCTTAAACTTCGTATACAGTTCGAGCTGATAACTGTCACTAGACAACTCACCAACGGTGTAATAATCAGAAGGCGAATACGTAGTGTTGGTTAAGTTTATTATTGCACCACTCACGGATAACCAAAATTTCAGGTACGCTAAGCAATTATGAAAGAGTATTACCGAAAAGCAAGCGGGTAAGCGAGTGAGCGTGTAAGTCGAATGAGTGAGCGAGTGAACAGGATTAAAATGTACATATATATACATAATGAAATGACTGAAACATTGAATCAATTAAGCGACTAACATTAAAGCTAACAAAATGAATAAGTACGTCAGTGGTATGCAAGGCTCAAGCATACATACAACGGACTCTGTCCGTCAAATAAGTTAACAAAACGGTTTAACCAGATTGAATATGAACAAACTCAATTGCACGTGAGCTGTTATACAGATATTAAATTACCAGTCAAAATATGTTGCGTCATCAGCATATCAAAATGTACAAATAAAACATTGTTTTCAACTTGAAATAATCAATTTAGTCGAGTTTTTGTGCGAAACAAAAAAATAATTTGGAACGTATGCAAGAACTACACTTTCTATCCCTAAAAAGTTTATCCCATTTTGTTAGTGTCAGTAATTTTACCGATTACAGTATTCCTAACATTTAATTTAAGTATTTTTCATGAACCGATTAAATAAATAAAAACAGCGGGTAATTGAAAAAAAAGTGACAGACATTTCTGTGAGAATTTGATTAGGAAACTAATAATTTTTATGATGGTGAAGATTCGTAGCTCAGGTGGATGATTTTGATGGAGTTTTGTTCTCTGAGCTGGATGGTTCGGTCGTGGAGCTTTCATCGTTCTTCTGAACGACGTTATCAGCACAAACTTCAGATAGAAGTGAAGCGTCCGAATTTCTCCACATGTGGTTCACAGGTTTAGGGTCAACAAGAACCAATCAATATTGAGGTCTACAGGACAAGCTGTGAACCATATGTGGAGAAATTCGAAAGCTTCACTTATATCTGAAGTCTGTGCTGATGATATCGTTCAGAAGAACGATGAAAGCTCCACGACCAAACCACCCACTTCAGAGAACAAAACTCCATCATAATAATTTTTATCTTTAAATTAAATGGAACATCAAGTGATTCGCAAAAAAATATGGTAATT